TTTGAAGAAAGGCTAAAATCCAACATTTTTATATATACAAATTCAAAATATTATAAATATTTTAATTTTCTTAAAATTTAAACAATATAATTTTGTTAACTTTTGAAAAGTTAAACTTTATAAAACGGTTTAAATAATTATAATATTAAAAATTTAATGAAGTTTCAAATATTATAAATATTTGAACTTTATATGAATTTATATAAAGTTTAAACATTATAAATATTTATAAAAAGATATTAATACATGACTGTATACTACAGATGAAATCCTCGATATAACAATCAAAATACAATTATCAATTTTGGGTCGATATTAAAATTTTTATGAAGTTTCAAATATTATAAATATTAAAATTTTATAAGAAAATAACAAAATGATGGTTAATTTCACGGGACGGGGTTAAAATAAAAATATAGTCCCGCGGTGTACCGCGGGTCAATCCCTAGTAATGTTTCAAAGAATATTGATATCTATAGCTTTTTACTGATATAAAACTATGTTTCGTGAAAGTAAAATATTTCGTGTATGTTTTTACAAAATCTTGTTACCTGATTTTGTGTGGGAGACTATTATTATTTCCTTTTGAGAAGCAGTGTACCATATTTTAGCTTTATTTGGAATGTTACTGTTGTGCCGTTAGTGATAGTACAATGATGAACTTCAATAATTCTGAGATGAGTTAATTCATGTGCTTCAGTGCTTCCGTAATCCTTTTTCTTCGGTATGTTGTCTGTGTTTTGTTTTATCTACGTGTGTGTGTGTTTGTTTTTTATAGTAATTTATTCGATAGAAAGTGTTAGTAATTTTTTTTTTATCAAACAAGAGAGTGTTAGTAACGAACATAAATTAGGTTTAGTTATTTCCTATACAAGAAAAAAATGATGAGAAACTGCTCACAGGTTCGGTTACTATTAACTCATGCTGATTCAGATTCATAAAAATTAGAAGTACTAATTAAGCAATGTAAAAAAAAAAATTACAAGTACTAATTAATTAAACCCATCCGCAGTTTCCCACCAAACCTTGTTGTTGAAGACTCCAAGTTTTCCCCACCTACCAATTGCGCAAACTTCCATAAAGTTTCCACGTCATATTGAAACCCAACTTATATTTTTGGTTTTTTTTTGGTTCTCTTTCTCATTGTACTTAATTGTATTAATTCTAACTAAAAACTTCGTTTTTAATATTTGGTATTCAATGAGTTTTAATCTTTTTCAACATCTGCTATTTATCACATTTATTACAATGGACAGTAAACTTTGAATTCGAATTCATGTTATCGGTGTACCAGTACATCTCCTGGTATATGACCGGTTTAACTATCAATACGGGTCACTATACAATACTGGATTATTAACAATGCTATGTTTGTTTATCTTTTTTAATAAAAAAGAAAGAAAACAAAATGAAAAAGGTTAAATCAAAAGGCATATTAAAAAGATGATTCAATACATTAACCTCTATGTTGAAAATTTCTTTGATAAATGTTATTACTTCTTACAATTTTTTGGTCAAAATTGGTTCTATATTCTTTTTGATCAAGTGCCCCAAAGGGCAAAACAAGCTGAATTGGACCTACAAGAATAATATTAATAACTATTGGGCCTTACATCTAATGGGCCAAAACCTACCCAATATCTATAAAAGTGCATTATACATTCATTTTTATGCTTGGGCCTTAAAATTTGTATTCTCTTACATTCATTTTTATGTTGAGTACTGTAGGTAGAAAACTTAGTGAGACCATCAAATTTGAACAGCTTTTAGGTCATTCAATAGTTCAAAGAATTAATGTGTTGTTCGATCTGACTTCATAGTTTAACTGAAAATGAAGTCTTGGGTCAAAATATCATCAACTCGTCGTGTTGGACCGTCTGGTTTTTTGTAGAACATAGCAACAGCTTTAATTGACTTGAGAACAAATATTGAGTGCCATAGAAGAAAACTATATCAGTTGCTTAGAAAATTGTCCCATTTTCATTTTCATTTTCCATTTATAATAAATGATATGTGTGTGCAACACGCATTTTATTTATTTCGTAACTGCAATAGTCTTTTCTAATAAATAAATTTAATAAAATGTCAACATTTGGGATTATATGGATTACAGGATTAAGCGTTGGGCCTCTAGCTACGTGTACTGTTTTGTCAATCGATGTATTTCCCAAGAAATTACTTTTTTTCCTCCTCCCTCGTTAGGTCAATTCCAATTGGAAAAACTACAAAATCTACCACTTATTCCCAATTTCTTTCAAAATCTACCACATTCCTTCCTTTCTTTCAACTCATACCACATTTACATGTAGAGTTACCATTTTACCCTCCATATTTATCTTCCCAATTTATCTCTCCTTCCTATTTATCTCTCTTTCCTATTTATATCTCCTTCCTATTTATCTCTCTTTCCTATTTATATCTCCTTCCTATTTATCTATCCTACAACATTAGCTTCCATATTTATCTCTCTCTCGAGAAACACGTGCAATTTAATCAAGAAACATTATATCTCTTAAGACTAAACAATTAACTTTCGTTTTTGTCTCCAGATCTTGTCCCCGATTAGAAATTCTCTGTTGCGTCTAGATCTTGTCCCCGATTTCATCATCTTTCTATTATCATGAATCTCACATCTTGTCCACCAGTAGTTCTCATTTAAGGGTTTCGAATTTTATTTAGATTTTTCACCATCTATTTTGGTCCACATATTAGTTGAGCATTATTGTCTTCACCTACCCGGATTATTGAATTTTTTTTCCTTCTATTGCAAAATAACAAAGTGATCCAGTTGTCCCCGAGTACTATTATTCATTCGATATGAACTTGTCCCCGATAGAATTCTATTACTCATTCGATCTGAATTTGTCTCCGATCTAATTCTATTACTCATTCGATATGAACTTGTCTCCGATCTAATTCTATTACTCTTTCGATCTGAACTTGTCCCCGATCTAATTCTATTACACATTCGATCTGAACTTGTCCTCGATCTAATTCTATTACCTATTCTATCTAAATTTGTCCCCGATCTAATTATATTTACTCATTCGATCTGAACTTGTCCTCATATAACATATTATTTAAATAAAATTATATGCAATTGTAAACGTGCAACATTTATTGCAAGGGAATCTTTCCAAATCTACCACTTTTAGAGATGTGGCATTCCAAATCTACCACATTCTGAAAAAGCTTTCCAAATCTACCACATTTCTCTGCCACATGCGAAATAGCGGACGAAATTGCCCTTGATGGTGACATAAAGCTGTGTCAGATAAAAGGACAAGTTGGCACTGGCTGGAGAAGAGGGACCAGGCTGCAATAAATGATGTACGTTTACAATTACTTATATTATAATTAAATAATATATTAATAGAGTAGGGTTAGATCCTTCAAGGTCTTCAGCAAGATCCAACAAATACTCGGGGACATATGAAGAGAAAAATAAAATTAAGCTCGGGGACAAGTTTATATCGAATGGGTAATAGAACTAGATCAAGACAACTTCATATCGAATGAGTAATAGAATTATATCGGGGACAAGTTCATATCGAATGAGTAATAGAATTAGATAAAGGACAAATTCATATCGAATAAGTAATAGAAGTAGATCAGGGACAAGTTCATATGGAATGAGTAATAGAATTAGATCGGGGACAAGTTCAGATCGAATGAGTAATATAATTATATCGGGACAAGTTCATATGGAATGAGTAATATAATTAGATCGGGGACAAGTTCAGATCGAATGAGTAATTGAATTAGATCGGGGATAAGTTTATATCGAATAAGTAGTAGAATTAGATCAAGGAGAAGTTCATATCGAATGAGTAATAAAAGTAGATCATGGACAAGTTCAGATCGAATGAGTAATATAATCATATCGGGGACAAGTTCATATGGAATGAGTAATAGAATTAGATCGGGGACAAGTTCAGATCGAATGGGTAATATAATTAGATCGGGGACAAGTTCAAATCGAATGAGTAATATGATTAGATCAAAAATTGAGCATGATGATTTTTATCATCTAATTCTCTTTATTGTCCATCGCCAGGTGGTGTGGTTTTGTCCGCCAAAGATCTGGATTTACTCGGGGACAACTGGATCTTTTTGTTATTCCGCAATAGAAGGAAAAAAAGTTCAATAATCCGTGTAGGTGAAGACAATAGTGCTCAACTAATCTGTAGACCAAAATAGATGATGTGAAATCTATATAAAATTCAAAACTTTTAAACGAGAACAATTGGTGGACAAGATGTGAGATTCATGATAATAGAGCAGGATGATGAAATCGGGGACAAGATCTAGAGGGATGAGAGATAAATAGGAAAGCAAAACAGTTAAGAGAAGTCAAATCGTTGCATCGTGAAGCGCGAAAACTGCCCCAACAAGGGAGGGGTAAAATCGTAACTCCACTTTCCAAATGTGGTAGGATTGGAAAGGAGTTCCCAAATGTGGTACATTTGGAAAGATTTTGGAGAAATGTGGTACATTTCTTAGTTTTTCCTTATTGCAACTTGTCCCTTTATCAGCAGTCTGTCTCTTTATCTGACGCACCAGTCTATCACCATCAAGGGCAATTTCGTCCACAATTTGCATGTGGCAATGAAATGTGGTAGATTTTGAAAACTCTTTCCAAATGTGGTAGATTTTGAAAGCCACTTTTTTAAAAGTGGTACATTTTGCAAGATTCTCATTCCAATTCTGTTTGTTCTATTTTTCTTGCCGTTTCTAATCATACAATAAAAGTTTAAATTTTATGAAACTTTAAGAAATCGAGTCTTGTTAAATTTAAATATATATATATATATATTTTTTTTTGGTAAAAGGTTAAGTTTTATACCATTTTAATTTGAGACAGACGATTACAGAGAGATACAAGAAGCGGAAAAGACCAAAAAAACTACAAAACGAAAGAAAAAAGAAACATAACAACAAGCAAGCAAATAAATTTGAACAAAACGGAAAGAGCGACGAGACGGAATGAAACCACCACAGAGAAGGACAAAAGCAGAACGCAACATGAACTCAAGATTGCCGCGAGCGTCCGCAAGCAAAGCCCGTCCTCAAAACTTCACACCAGCAGTACTTACAGCTTTCTCGATCACGAAAACGCTCGAAAAAACTATGGTTGAGAAACCATAGACCGGAACCACCATTGGTCAAATCTGCGTCAACACTAGCGGCTTGGGAACTGCTCATCAGAGTCCAAAGTTGTTGCTAGCACGAGAGATGGATAAGCCGGCTCCACCTTACTCACAATATCAGTCTCCCCTACACACTTCCCCCAGCGGATACGCAAGCTAAAACCAAAGTAACCGAGCAGATTGTCCTTCACGGCTCCATTCACCATGTCCCATTAACTCCAATTTGCTTCGCCAAAGTACAAGCTTGCAACCAAACCTACAACTACAACAACATCTACACACAAGGCAACAAACAAACTGAGCCACCAACAGAGCCACAACAAAGTCTCAAACGGGTCAGCAAAACCGGAGACGCACAGAACACCTCCATTACCAACCACTGTCGCAGCTCCACTGAGCAGCAACGGAGACCCGCCACCGTCGAGCTCCGCACCAGAAAGATGCCACCACCAAAGAGCCGCAGGTGAAGAAAGAAAAACGATTCAGTTCACGATCTCGCGTCGGGACAGCAAATCGAAGGCTAGAAGAAGTAGATCAGGTGCCGTCCTCAAGCTCCGATACCACCTCGCTCACAGCCTCCGTGAACCAACAGCAAAATCAGATCTGAAACTCTCCGCCTCGAACTCAACACTTTGCCGCGAAAGGGAGAAGAAGCAAAAAGAACAAAGAGAGAAGGGAAGGAATGCGAAGGGGCCGGCGCCGGTGCTGTGGAAGCCACCGAACGCCGGCGACGGTAGGATTTGCAAGATGGGCGGCTAGGGCGAACTGTATCGAGGAGAGAGAAGGGAGGATTTGTTTTCAGCTTTTTCTCGTTTTGTGTATATACAAGTTAAATTTAAATATGTTAAATTTAAATATGTATAAACGTACGCATTCATTCAATAAAAGCATGCATTGGGTGAAACTTGATGTGAACTTATAATTATCCCATTCTTTACATTCACGTCTGTTAAAATGCGTGACACGATCCAATACCCCATACCATTTTGTTCCCATCCTTTTTTTTATTATATGTTCTTTTTTATTCAGATTTCAAAAAATGTTTTTTTTCCTTTGTCAACAATATTCATTCTGCAGTTATCGGAACGGACGAAGCTGGGAATTATATCAGAACAAATTGGAATATTTTATGGTTCAGAGTTGTTATATATTAAAATGATACCATGTATGATGTAACATATCTATCCATATTAACTAGAATAAATTAGAATGGATGTCAACAAAGTGACGAGATTCCACGTAGAGCTTGTCGATTTGTCAAATCTTATTATTTAGAAAACTATCAGTACTTTGACAAAGAAAAAAAGAAAACTATCAGTATTTATATTCATAAGAAGCTTGTAGTTTTATGACCGTTCGAATTTATATTTATTTTCTTTCTAAAGTTCCTTCACTAGTACCTTTTTTGGTTTCTTATGTATTTGATGAAATACCATATAGATTTCATAATTAGTGCACATGAAAAAAAAAAAAAGAGAGAAGAATCTCCCATTTAAAGAAAATAAAGGAAAAAGAGAAATGGACGGTGAGATACATGAATCATTGTAAAATGGACTAAAACAAGCACATAAACTGTGGGCAATGACATAAAATCATAAATATACAAAATCTGCAAGTTTATGATTAGTAGGAAGGAAATTAGGTATAAATGACTAGAAAGTTTTCTAGTCAAAAAAAAAAAAAAAAAAAAAAAAAAAAAAAAAAAAAAAAAGTTTTCTAGTCAAAACTGAACACAAATAGATTCTTTAATGTTTTTCTATGTGGAGAAGATTTTGAGACTACACAACAACAATTGTGTAACGGTCATGGTTTATAATGAAGTTGTAAGTATAGATTTTGTTATATTGTATTAAATATACTCAAAGATAATTAACCTTGGATTGTACATTGTATTTGGGGTAAGAGAAAAAAGTAATAGATTTTGTCCGACCGGTTATCTCTCGTGCACAATGCACTAGTGGAATGTAACATCACATGAGATCACGCCTCATTTTTTCTTCTTTCTATAACCATGTTGGTAAATAAATAAGATTAGTGCTAAGAAAATAAATGGTTCTCATTAGGAAAATATCACAATGGCAGCCCATTGAAACTGGCAATTTGTCTCCCTCCTCTCTCTCTCTCTTTTTTTTTTTTTCTAAATAAAAGAGATGTCTTTGAAATTTTGTGAACTTCTCAATTAGGTTTGCATTTTAAATAAATATATGTACATTCCATTAAAGATTTCGATCTCATTTTCAGTTTCTAAATTAGCTAATTAGGCTTTCGATAGAATGTAAACATAGTTTTGCCCTTTCAGAATGCAATAAGAGTAAACCATCTCCCATAGACAAAATGAAATAAACCATATTATTGTTAACATATGCATCATCACCTTATTATGCATGTAAGCAATTTGGTTTGTACATGATGATGCATGGTTTATAAATAAATACTAAATAGTACAAAATTAAAATCAATAAACAATAATCAAATACTTAATTAGTGACTCCATAGAGATAATTGGATGAAGAGAGAGTTGGAGAGGTAACCACAAGGTGGGTCCATTTGCACCCTGAATTTGACGCAGACTTTTATCAAATACCACGAATTAGCCATCAATTTTAGAGGTCCATTTCCGACATTAACTTCTAAACTACGGTCAAACCGAAAGTGTAAAACAATACTAATTAATACTGTTGTTGTGAAAACAATTACATAGATATTTTAAACTAAGTAAATACCAGAATTAGCTCTCTTTTTAGCGGTCTATCTACATAATCACTACAAAATATTTTAGTTTTTCATCATATTATAAATTTGTAATCCACTATAAATAATTATAAATCAACATAATATTTTGAACACAGTAAACAGTTTTATAGACGATTTTATAACTAATAATTATACTTGTACAATTGTACCACAAAAAACTATGATATATGAATATATATTTATATATATATATATATATATACAACATTTGCGATATACATATTTAATATTAATATATGACCACAACAAACGATTTTATATGTATCACGCTAAAATTCTATTTATTTTGCCTTTATTAATCTGCATTATTATTTTTAGTGATCAAATCTCATACCAAATAGAAAAACATTAGACTCTTAATCATCTATAGTGGACCAAAGAAAGTTCGACGCCATACCCAGATTCGAACCACATATATTTTTAACCATTTAAACGATATTTTTAAGAAGTCGACTAGATCTTATTATTTTCTACTACATGCCAGATAAGATCATTATAAATATAAAAGGTTTACAAAAATCATGATCATAAAAAAAAAAAAAAAAAAAAAAAAAAAAAATCATGATCATATTAATATATAGATTGATATTGATTGGAGAAATAGTGAATTCTTCGGTTTCCTAACCACTCTGCAAATGTTTTTTGTATTCGATACATAACCACATAATCTAGTGCTAACACTTGAGTAGAATATGGTCTTACCCATATAGTTGTTTAGGCCTTTATAGATTCATACTGTCTAGAATCTGTCCAAATGACTAAGAGTTAACCTAAAAAATAGTGCTAATTAATTTATCTGAATCAAAATATCCGGGATGCTATAACATTTGCCTAAGCTAAACTATATTTTGTGATAAGTTATTCACCAATCTTTGAAAAAATATTTAACCCCAACCAATATTATATCCAACGATCCAATTTCTATCTATTTATCAAAAAATAAAATTGTCCTAAAACTATGTGAACTCGGAGCATAAATGATACTCCCTCTGTTCCTAAAAGATTGATGTTCTAGAGTTTTCACATATATTAAGAAACAATCATTGTTTAATTATTTGTCAATTATTTTTATATACTAAACATTTTTTAATAACTTTGAACCAATAGTATTAGAAAACAGTTAATCATTACGTCTTAAAGTTTACGATATATTAATTTTAATCAATAAAAATAAAACAAAAACCTACAAAATCAAACTTTGTGGAACAAACTAAAACTCTAGAACATCAAATATCTAGAAACAGAGGGAGTAAAGTACAAGCATTAGCCAGTGCAAATATCACAACCATCTCAGCGATTATTAAGTTTAATGACCTTATCTAGTCGGCCATATAAAGTTCAAGCCTATAATCATTCTTATATAAAGGTACAGAAAAGTTTTGAGAAGAGAAATAAAAAAAGGATCCGAAAACTAAAACGTGATGGTGTCTTCTCACCCACCCTTATAAAATATGTTTTTATAAACAACTTATTCAAAACAATATTGCTCTAGTGTTTCAGAAATTATAAAGAAATTTATAACAAGTTTGTAGATTTTAAATTTGATGAATAGGAAAAAAAGGGTTGATATTTAAATTAGGTTACTTAAGACTTCAAAGGAGGCCTAATAAAGTGATAAACGGATATGTTAGAGAGATTAATCAGCTTGACCCACCTAAAAAGCTCTAACACAAAACGGATGGTTCTACTTTGCTCGTATTGCCTTTTTGTCAACGGGGCGTGTTTTACACGTTCACGACACAAGCGCGTGACATCTTTTTTTTTTCCTTTTTTTTGCTTTCATATTTTCATTTTCATTTTTTGACGTCAGTTTTCATTTATTTTCTTATACTAAAAAATTGTAATAATTTAATGGATATATTTTGTTTATTTGTTTTTCTCTTCTAGGCCTTAAACGGAGAGAATTAAATCCATACCTAAATAGTAAATACGCACTCCATTTTTAGAAAACAAATATACACACCTTCCCGTATTAACCCACACCACTAAACGGACAACTGTTTTTTAAATTAGTCAAGTTTATTACATAAATAATCAAACGCTGCTAATTAGCCTATCAATGGAGTATTAACACATAACCCAGTCTAAATAATTACTCTGATTACACATTTCACATCTTCATATACAAGCTATTACCAATTACAATCAAAACAATTATAAAATTAGATCATCGTCATCTTCTCATTCTCCAATTATATGTGTATGTTTGCTCAAAAGCGTCCCGTAATCATTACTGTTTATTCCATTCTCATAATTTACGATTTTTTTTCATTTACAGTAGATAAATTTGTTATCTTTTCATTTTTATATTTACTATCTACATAAAGAGTAAAATATTTATGAAGAAATTTGACTAATTAATGTATTCCATTAAATATCAGATTCACATGTTTGTTGTGGAAAATTAAAGTTTTTGGAATATTATGAGATCTTCTCTATTTAATAATATACTCATTAAAAACCATTAAATAGGTTATATCTACTGTTGGAAAAGAATCAAAACACAAAAAAAAAGAGAAAATATTTTGGATATAATTATTAAAAGAGTTCAACCAAAAAAGGTTTTTATATAAAGAAAAAAAAAAGACAAAGAAAGAAAAACGCCGTTGATGACCAATTGAAAACGGAAGCTTGAAGATGGAGTCACTGTCCTGTCAAATAAAAAGACTTTGAAGGTCTTTGTCATGTTTTTTCTTAAAAAAATATTAAGGAAAACAAAAATTATCTATCAAAACTATATATTAAAATTTTTAAAAATCAGATTTTTTTTTTAAGAACCCTAGTTGAATTAAAAAATAAAGAAAAAAGAGGCAAGGTAAAGGGAACAGAGGAGAGAGAAAAAGGTGTGAACAGTTAATGGCGGAGCAGTATAAGGAATCGCTTCTCTCTAGAAATCTTTTGCCATAGCTGGATTTTGGTTTTGATCTATCTCTCTCTCTTTTTTGTAATAACAAAGCTTTGAAAAATTCTATTACAGAACAAGAACAAGAAGAAGCAAGAAAAATTAGTGGTTTCTTTTTTAAAAAAATATTCCATTTAGTGAGAGAAAGCTCTCCTCAAGAAGTGTTATCGAGATGCGAGCTAGTAAAGGAACCTTCTCTGTACTTCTTCTCTTTCTCCTTTTG